GGATGGGGAATGGAGGGTTTATCACAGTGTCTCACAATCTGATGGGTGGAGGGAGGGGTGCGTAAAGAAAATGGGAAAGGACCAGTATGAAAAAAAAGTATATAAACTTTGTAAGTAAAATCAGTACAAAATATAAAAATTATTTAAAAATGCCCCACCATTTTATCCTAGCATTAATTGCAAAAATCAGTGGAAATAATGTTGGTGAGGATGTGAAGAGATTAGAATCCTTCTACTCTGCCTGTGAAACTGTAAATGGTGTAACCACTGTGGAGAAGAGTGTGATCGTGATATTTCTTTAAAAATTTGAAAAAGGAATAATGGAGAAATAAGTGCCATGAAACTATAGAGGTGAAATCAGATATACCTATACCTATTTTCATCCAGCATTATTCATCTTGGAAGAAAGATGGAAACAACGAAAGTGTCCATCAATGAAGGAATGGAAAAATGAGTTTATGAAACATACCAATATGGGATACCATTTAACAGCATCAAACATGAATGAACCTAGAGGACATTATGCTGAAAGAAATGAAGCACGAAAAACCAATATTGTATGAGACCACAAGTGTAATTTTTTTAAATTGTTTACAACCAGAAATAAGTATCTTTTGAAATTTGCTACAAGGGTTACAAGGGGAAAGAAGAGTAAATTATTAACTACATGATAGATGCCAATTTCTTCTATCAGTTTGCCTTACAGTGGTGGTTTATGCATTGCTATAATGTGTCATATGAGATAATGGTTACCTATGGTGGACAGTGTTTTTTGGAGCTTCCCAATTAAAACAAGCTTGGAAGCAGGAGTGGCATCCACTTCTGAAATGGCTTGCCTCCAGAAACTCTATGAACAGTGCTCAGGCCTTTCATTCATAGGGTCGCTATGAGTCATCTAAGACTCAATGGCACCTAACAACAATAACAACAACAACAACAGAGAGAGCGCTACATTGGCCTAGTAGACAGAAAGTTATGCTACCAAGCCCAAGGTAGGTGATTTTAATCTGCGGCCCTCAGGCCTGCTTCAAATTGTTGTTTTGTTCAAACATTCTTATAGGGGGTACAGCACTGTTCTGTGCATTGCTGTACAGAGGTAACTTGTGGTTGCTGTGACGCTAAACACTGTGACACTGATGTGCAAAATGTGATAATGGTTACCCATGGTGGACAATGTTTTATGGTTAAAACAAGCTTGGAAGCAGGAATGGTATCCACTTCTGAAATGGCTTGCCTCTGGAAACTCTAAGAACAGTGCTCAGGTCTTTTGTTTATAGGGTCGCTATGAGTTATCTACAACTTGACGGTGCCTAACAACAAAAACATGCTAGAGCATATGAAAGCAATATTCAAAGTAAATAAATTGTTGTTGTTGTATATTATCCAATTGGAAGTAATGAATAGATGACCAACAGATTTCAGAGGCTGTTTTCTTAGGACAAAAGACTGCCTATCTTTTTTCATAACAGCTGGTAGATTTGAGCTATGTACATTTGGGTTGGCAGTGCAGCTCCTTAGAGCTGTTGCTGTAATTGTTAAGTGCTGTCAAGGAAAGTACAACTCATAGTGACCCTAAGAACAACAAATCTGAACCTTGTCCTATTCTGTACCATCCTTATCATCTCTGACACACTTGTGTTTACTAATGTCATCAGGTAAAACCACCTCATTTGAGTATTCCTGCCTTTTGCAGACTCTCCCTTCCCAAGCATGATGTATCTTTCCAAGATCAGACTCTCCTAGCAACATGCCCAACATTTAAGAGGTGAAGCTTCACAATCCTTGCTTTCAAGGAGCACTTTGGCTGTACCTTTTCTGAAAGATATCTGTTTTTTCTTTTGGCAGACCAAAAGTACTCTTCTCCAAAACCACAACCCAAAGATATCAATTCTTCTGTCATCTTTATTCATCGTCTAGCTCTCAGAAGCACAGCAAGTGACTGAAAGGACCATGGCCAGCATCAGGCACACTTCAGTCTTCAAACTGACATTATTGCTCTTCAGTGTTTGGGAAAGATCTGGTAGGGGACTGGTCCAAAGCAGTGTGTGTCCTAATTTCAAAATTACTGGTACCAAAGATTCCAATTGTTGATCTAAGTAAGATGAAATCATTGAAAATTTCAATCCTTTCTCCATCTATCATGATGTAACCTATTCAGCTAGTGGTGAGGACCTTTTTGTTTTCTGCAATACTTGTCTGCCAGTCCACTGCACTGATGTAACTTGTAGGTTACTGTGATGCTGGAATATATGCCATCAGTTTGTCATAAGCCAGAAGGGTCACCTATGGTGGACAGGTTGCAGCAGAACTCTTAAATTAAGAGAATAGGAGGCAGGACTGTCCATCCACTTCTAAAACAAGAGGCCTTTAAAACACTGAAATGACAGAGAAACATGGGTAGCTATCATTTTAAGGTAATGTTCAGATGAGAAGTCACTCAAATATGAAGGTAAACAACCATTAAACAAAGGATGCAATGTAGGATGTACAAATGTAGAAAAATTAGAAGTTATAAAAATATGAAATGGAACAAATGAAGATTGACATTTTAGGGTTTAAAGAACTGAAATAGACTAGCATGGGCCTCTTTGAATCAGACAATATATTATGAAAATCTTTCCATGTCTGAAAATGTGCGAAGAGGTGTGATATTCATTTCATATGTACTTCATCCTGTCCTAAATTAATATTCTAATTTTTCTAGAATCTACTTATTGTTGTTGTCATGTGTCATTGAGTTGACTCTAACTCATAGCTACCCTATGTACAATAGCTCTGAACCCTGCTGTATCCTAAGCCAATTTCATCATCTCTTACACACCTATTCTCATTACCATAGTCACTGAGCCAATCTATCTCATCCAGAGTCTTTCTCTCTTGAACTGTCCCTCTGCCCTCCCAAACATAATGTCCTTCTCCAAGGACTGGTCCCTCCTTGCAACATGCCCAAAGTATGTCAGAGAGAGCTCCAAAATCCTTGCCCCAAAGAGTAGCCTGATTTCACACTCTCCAAGATGAACCTGTTTGTTCTCTTAGCAGTCCATGGCATATTTAATACTCTTCTTTAGCACCACAACTCAAAAAGGCATCAAGTCTCCTTCTATTGTCCTTAGTCATTATGAAGCCTTCTGAGGCATAGCAAGTGACTGTGAAGACCATGGCCTGAGTCAGGCAACCTTAGTCTCTAGACTCTTTAATACTCTGAGGAGGTCCCTGACAGTAGATTTTTCCAGTGCAATTCATCTTTTGACTTCCTGGAGGCTGGTACCAAGAGTGTTCATTGTGGAACCAAGCAAGCTGAAGCTATTAACGATCTCACTCTTTAGAATCTATTCTACTTGGCTTAGTGGCAAGTAGCTGCTTTGCAACCCCTATGGCACATGGTTCAAATCTACCAGCTGCTCCGCAGAAGAAGGATGGACAATCTCCTCCCATGCCTCTGAAAACCTGCCGGTTCCAACTTGATGGTACACAACAGCATTCTACTATAACAGGATTCAGATCTTTTGTTCATATGGTCGTTATGAGTAGTACTTGGCTCAATAGCACCTAACAACAACAACAACATTCTACTATAAATACTATTATCACTTTTTTACTTATCATCTTTTGTTGATAATTATGTTGCTTCCATTTTGACCTATTCTCCGTATCTTATTATAAAGTATTATTGCACATTGCTATGTTGAAAGTTATACCATGTTGTTGTTGTTGTTGTTATGTGCCGTCGAGTCTCTTGTGACTCATAGTGACCCTATGTACAACATCCCTAAACTCTGCTCTGTCCTGTGCCAGTCACACCGTCTTTGATACACCCATCCCGACTACCCCAGTCACTGAATCAATGCACCTCAAAGAGGGCCTTCCACTCCTGCACTGTCCCTCCACCCTACCAAGCATGATGTCCCTCTCCAAGGACCAGTCCTTCCTTACAACATGTCCAAAATATGTTAGACGGAGACTCAGAATCCTTGCCTCCAAGGAGCTGCTCAGTTTAACCCTTTCCAGGATAAATCTGTTTTCCTAGCAATCCTCGGTACCCGCAATACTCTTCTCCAGCACCAAAGCTCAAAGGCATCAAATCTCCTTCTATCCTTCATAGTCATTGTCCAACTCTCTGATGCATAACAAGTGATCACAAAGACCATAGCCTGTATCAGACGCACCTTAGTCTCCAGAGAGACATCATTGCTTTTCAGTAGTTTAAGTAGTCAAGTGAAATAGTAAAGTTCATATACCAAAATTAGCCGCATAAAAAGTAGGTAAGTATTTAATACTAGTATTGCAATAAGGGGAACTTGGGTGGTCTATTGACAAGAAGTTGCACTACAATCTTGAAGGCATGTGGTTCAAATCTACCAGCTGTTCCACTGATAAGGATGGTCAATCTCCTCTCATGCAATTAACTGCCCATGAAAACCTGCTGGAGGGTCAGCTATGGGATGGTTCCAGCATGGCAGTACACAACAACAAAAACAACTACAACACTTAGTGAAGAAGACAACATTCATTTGAGGATATAAAAGGTGATCCTAAACAGTTTTCCAATACTGATATTGTAATGTTTAGTAAGGACTAAGGCCAAACTTGTCTTCAATTTTCTCTGTGATATACATAAGGGAAGTAACTATGAACCATTCATCTTTACATATCTAGTTAATAAAGTAACCTCTTTCCCATGGATATGAAATTGTTCTGGCATAATTAAAAAAGATATTTAACAGCATCGTAAAGTCCATTATCTGTAAGCTGGGGAGCTCCAAATTCATGTAGAAGAATTCCGTCATAGAAAAGCATTCAAAATCCCAACCCACCATATCATCATGGACAAAAACAGGGTAATGAGACTCCTGAAATGTAAAAACTTCCATAAAAAGATAAAGAAAAAAGTATACAGACTATTTAGAAAAATATTTCTTCTTAGAGGTTATGAGGATTGTGTTTTAAAATCTGACCTTTGAGCAGTTGTAGATAGAACCCACAGCTACTTGAAACTGATGTTAACTGTCCTGAGACAAGGAAGCAAACATACCAGAGTAGACCAGTGAAGGACAAGAGGAGCATGGGACACAAAGAAGCAGTTCAGCAGAACCTGCACAATGAGAAAAAAAAAGAGATAATACACTGGCTTGCTGGGAAGATATCTACTAATCAGCAGTCCCTATTGGCATGACACCGTGGAGTAAGTTTGACTGAAATGAATATAAGAATTGCATTGTATTTTTACAGCGTAAGCTGCAATTACTTATAACTTAATGTTTCAATACTATATAAAGTCTCATACAGTACTAAAATTTTTTATTTAAATTCTCATTCATTTTTTTTAAATTGAAGGGGGAAAATATAACATGTGAACTGGGAAAGATATCAACTTAGCTGCAAACGAAATTCTGATGTTCATTATGGGTAAGGTTAGCAAAGCCGTCCTTTACAGACTGCAATCTTTTCATTTTTTTTCAGGGTAGAATATTTACATGTTACATATTATGATGGCACACAACTTGTATGTCATATCTTCACAGGATGATGTGAAAATTACTTGAGATTGTGCACATACATCTAAAAATACATCCCATGATTAATGCCTAGCATAGCAGTGATACACTAAATGGAATTTCTCTTAATGTAAGTATGATCAATTGATTGCATTCTCCCAAATTATGTGTTTGCATATTCACTCCTATTCTTGAGGATGGCTGATGAGATCACAGCATGCTGGGGTAATAATTGCTGGATCTAATACTTTCTGGTGGTATAGGGCATACCACATAAGGCTGCCCTCTGTTAGTGGTTCAAATCTACCAGTTTTTCCTCCAAAGAAAGATGGTAAGTCTCTTATGAAGATATAGTCTCAGAAACTCAATTTAGGGTCACTATGAGTTGAATTTACATCACAGTAATGAGTTTTGAGTTGTTCTGTTTTTGTTGGTGGTGGATTTTTTAAACAATTTCTGAATTATAAAGAGTAAAATAGACACTGCAAGCATAACGTAGAAGGAAGGAAGAGAGATGCCATATCAAAAAAGTGAGGAATGTCTGGGTAAAGGATGCAGAGGCTGCAGGCAATGAAAGGACCAGGGTCTTCCCTAGATCCAACACATATAATGCCTTTCCCAAGAGTTCCGTGCCCTCACTTTGAATTTGTAATCTAAACTGTGACAAACAAACTCCTATCCTTTAAAGCCATTACTTGTAGTATTTCTAAAATGGCAGGAGTAGGAAACCAAGATAGAAGTCCTGAGAGAGAATAGCAGAATTTGAGGCTGTCTCTGAGAGATAGGAAATTCAGTGCCTTTGAGCTCTGGTATAACATGCCACACTGCTTACTGTGAAGCTGTCAGTTCAAATCCACCAGCCTTTGCCCTAGAGAAAGCTCAACAGTCTTTTCCAATAAAGATTTGTAGCCTTAAAACCCAGTAACAAAACTAAAATAATGTGACAGAAGTGAGTTGTTTCTTTCGAGTGAGACAGGGGAGGATGAGCATTCTAGATTAAAAACATGTCAAATCAAGTATAGAATGAAATGCTTAGATTAGGGAAACATAAGAAATCCAGGTATCTTTAAGTGAAGCTTTGAAAGTAAAAGAATTAAGTAAAATTTTTGAAAGCTGCTCTTTAGAATACCATTTCAGTAATATATGTATTTCTCCCCAAAATAGTTCAGAACCTCCCCAAATGGTCCCGTGGTTAAAAAAAAAAAGTGAGGCAGCAGTATAAATCTGTTTTTGTAGAGGTTAACAATAAATATCACCATATTAAAGGCTCTCATAAACTCAGCAATTAAAACAAACAAATACATTTTGTATCCTGGTATTTACCAAGGTTATAATATGGACTGAGGCTCAATGTCAAGAAGACAAAAATTCTCACCACTGGACCTATCGGTAGCATCAGGATGGATGGCGAAGAGATTGAGATTGTTCAC